TCGTTACCTTCCCATATCTCTCCTGCATACTCTAGCTTAGGTACAATCACCTTCAAGAGAATACACCTCTTAATCCTAGTGTCTAGGTGTGGGTCCGTAAGGATCTCGTCCATCTTGCCTATCTGAGCTTTACTCTTCCCAATCAACTTCGCTATGTGTGCGTCCCATGAGCACTCCTTCGAAATCTCTACTCCCAGGTACGTATACTTGTCTACTACCGGTAGTTCTTCCTCCCCCCATTTCCATTTGAATTCTACGGGATTTTTCTTATCTTCGTTACAGACCACAACTGCGCATTTTCCTACGTTCGCCGACAGTCTCCATTTTCGGGTGTATCCTACCGCCGCATCTATTTGTTCTTGCAACCCTTCTGGTGTTTCGGATACCCCCACGAAATCATCTGCAAACATCAGTCCGGACACACTCTTTCCCTCTACTTGGACTCCCTGTCTTACTGCTTCAACCGCCCTTATCAAATCGTTGATGTAAATCTTAGGGGGGTGGGGGGGCGTACTCATGTTTTGCATGCCTTAGCGGTTAGACCATTTACCACGAGGAGGAGCATTGTTCCCACAGGACCGATCACCGTGGGGATTAGTGTTAAGTGTGGCAAAGCGTAGCGCAGAAACGGGTGCTGACTTCCCCAGCGGACGGTCGGGCTCTAGAGTCTACGGGCCGTTGGCAGGTGGCGCTTGGTCGGTCAGGCCTGGGAGCTTAGAAAGGCGTCGAGTACTGCTGCTGCTGTTGTTGTTGTTGTTGAATGTTCTTCTGTTGGTGTTCGGTGATAAGGGAGCCGGCAAGTTTTTTTCCGGTGCGTTCGGGATCCCGCCCTCCGGCCGAAGCCTGTGCTCTCACCGACAACACGCTTCATCCATTGGGCGAAACCAGTTGGTTTTCCCCAGCCGAAGCCTGTGCTCTCACCGACAACACTCTTCATCCATTGGGCGAAACCAGTTGGTTTTCCCCACTAACTTCTTTTTTTTCTCTTTCTTTTTTTTCGCATCTGGGCGCTTTGTTTCGTCGTTGCGCAGCGTTGTACTTCGATGGGGACCTGTTGGTCACCGGAGGAAGCGACAAGACAGTTCGCGTTCAGCGAAATAGCCGAGACTGCCTCGAGAAGGTGCGAGGAGTTGTTGATGTTTTGTTCGGTTTTGATCTCAGCCGGTTGCCAAATATTTCTACTAGACCGGCTGCTTTTCTAGATCTGCTGCTTTTGCAAGCCTGACGTTTTTCTGTATCAACGGCACGACGATGTTCGGCAACAAGGGATGGTTGATAAAGCTGGCAACGAGATTTTTCTAGCAGCAACAAAGTTGGTCTTCTCGCTGTTAAGAATCGCTTTTCGGTTTCCTGTTGGCCCATGATTGCCATGCGTACCACGTATTCACTCGGTGCAGTCTAGTGTGCAAACATTCGGGTGGTCGGCCTGGGTACGCGCAAGTAGGTGTAGGACACGTGCCGACACGTTTAGCACTCCTATACAGACGACAGAAACAACCACCAGGACAACAGGATCAAATCGATAAATCAATAATAACGGCAAAACAACAACAAATACGGCAACAACAACAACAATTTTTTTACAAACGAACAGGAACAACTAGGGGAATGCCTCCACGTGCTAGAGGGCCACACCGAGCGCATCACGGGGGTGGCGAGGCTGGACGGGTCCCGCCTGGCCACCAGCTCCGCGGACGGCAGCCTCCGGGTGTGGGACGTGTCGTCGGGGGAGACGCTGCACGACGTGCTGCTGCCCTCGCCGGCCTGCTGTCTCGGCGCCGCGGGTGAGCTACTCTGCTCTAGCTATCTCGAGACGGGTCTTGATTATTCTGTGACTCAAGGAGCTCAAGCATGACTGTAATAACAACTACCCGAGCATCACGATAGATCGTTGCGAATGAGTCACACAGAGGTCCAAAAGGCGTGCTCAAATGGTAGAAGAGGACACACGGCGCCCACCCACCACCACCCCACAGTCCCGAGCACTTTGTCAGCAGAAATATCTCAAAATACACACATGGACGTCTCCTCGTTGCTGTGCCATCCTTGCCGCCGCGATACATGTGCGTGCACCTTTGCGATTGTGTGCGTACATGGACGATTTTGGGGCATTTTATCTTCCAAGAGCCCGTCCTCGAGGAGGAGGAGGAGGTAAAAACAAAGCGTCAGACTACTCAAGTCACGTGAAGATTCTCCGACAGTCATTTGGTTTGTTTTTAGCTACTCGTACATAGTTGTAGATGGCGTTGGACGACAACACATAAAAAAATGGAAGGAGTCGAAGCGTGGCGCCACCGAGTGAGGGACCTTCCCTCCCGCTTGTGTCATATCGTCATATCCCCACCTGTGATGGCCTAGTTTCAGGTAACCACGCAGGCAGAATATTATGAGGGTGCGCGTGCACAATCTAAAATACCGCCGGCGATCTCGTTGCTCCCGGGCTTGCGAAAATTCTCGGAAACTTCTCGAGGCAGATCATTCCAACTTCACGAGAGGGGAGTAAGCAGGCGTGCTGACCCGCATCCGCGCCTCTCCCTGCAGAGGAGGGGATCAACCGACTAAACCTGCCGTAGGTTGCATAAAGTACCACTACCCCCTGGACGACGTATTGCCGTAGCCGATAACTCTGCAGCACTAAGAGACTGTCTGTGCTGAGGATGGTGGCGTTGGAACCTTGACATGGATGGAGCTTTCCGAAAACGTATCATGTTGGTGTGGATTGATGGAGCTTTCTAAAATGGGTCCAACGAGGAGGAGTGGTATCTTACGCAACAATTCGGCGATTACCTTCTATCGTCATGGTCATATGCCGCCGCCACTGGGCACCCTCGTTGCCTTTCTTCTCATATACTTGTGTGTGTCTACATTCCACACGGCCCTCATGCCCGGTGCGTTTTCGCTCACACCCCGCCCCTCCCTCGTATCGGTGCCATGCCTACTGCTGTGCGGTAGAGGGTTACATGGTCACGGGTCTGACGGACGGGAGGGTGCTGGCGTGGGAGGCTAAGCGCCCGGAGCGCGCGCCGACGGAGATCCTGACGCTCGACGCTCACCGCGGGGCGGTCACGACGCTCAGCTTCCCCAAGCAGGTACACGTACTAGGTGGTGATGGGTGACTGAATTGGCACTCTGATGTGATACATAGTACTCCAAAGCAGACGCTCAGTGGACTGACCTCGTACTCTCTTGATGTGTGCTTCTTCGTAAGTACGTACCAGTCGTTCAGTTTCTCCAAGCAGGTACAGTACGTGGTGATGGGTGACAAACTTGGTGGTCTCTGTTCTCTCCTGTATGGTACATAGTACTCCGTGACAAACGTTCCGCGTCCCCACGCAGTGAGTGGTGATAGGTGACTGACTTGGTCCTCTGATCATAAGTGGTACATACCTGGTAGTACTGGACCAGACGCTCCGCTACCCCGAGCAGGTACAGCAGTAGGTGGTGATGGATGACTGGCTACATAGTACACGTGCCAGAAGCTTAGCTTCCCCACGCAGGTAGGTGCTGATGGGTGAGTGCCTTCGTACTCTCTTTGTATGGTGTTTTACACGCCAACCCGACGCACTTTTTTGGGGGAGGGTAGACTTTTGTGTTGCTTGCACGAGCGAGCGACCCCCTACCACTGGGTTTGGGTGGAGCGGGTTGGGATGTGTGATGTCGCGCGGGATGGGCGTGTTGCGGCAAGGCATGCGCATTTGGCTCATTTTTTTTTTGTGTGTTGTGCTTCTCTTTCTCTCCCTCCCTCTCTCTCTCCCTCCCTCTCTCTCTCTCTCTCTCTCTCTCTCTCTCTCTCTCCTCTTATCTCTCGTCGTCGCTGGCGCGCACGCGTGCACCTCTACTGCACACACCCGGCGAAGAACCTGACCCTCTTCTCTTGCGCCACTGCTGTGCCCCAACGAATTGCCGCTTGTTGTGTACAGATAGCCTTGATTTACTTCCTTGGCGGCCTGTTATTCCTGACATTTGTACAATACTGCTGTTCCGACCAAAACCTTCAGTGATATCGCTTCTTTCTGTTGACAGAATGTCTTTCTGACGTGGGGAGGGGACATGCGCTGTTGTTCCTGATGTTTTTACCGCTGTTTCGACTCCAAAACTTGAACCTGCTGTCATATTTTTGTTGTCTATACTTGCGACATTGTTTTTTTCGTTGGCAGGATGTCTTGCTGACGGGGGGGGGGGACGGCAGGGTCAAGTACTGGGATCTCAACCAGGGGGGGGCGGCCGAGGGGAACCGGTTCGAGATCGGCGGGGAAAGCTACACCCACGTCTTCCGGGTACGCGCGGATTTCGTGACTTGGTTGTGGTGGTCTCTCGGTACTTGGTCGAACGTGGCAGGAGCAGTGAATACTACTACGTGCAAAAAAAAAAAAAAAATAGAGATATGCCTTTTTTTCTGCAGGAAAACATGAAGTATTAATAGTTCATTGAGGTGAGTGTGCAGTATTCTTCGCGCTTGCAGGTCCGCACTGCTGTGATTGTACGATCTCGCTGTATTGTACGGTCTCGCTGCGCCACGGCAGTATGCTTCGCGACGAAGTACGAGCACGCTGCATCGTTATCATGATGGTATGCTTGTGCAGGACGAAAAGGGTCACACACACAGCTGTCCGATGTGTTTCCCCTTCCGCTCTCTCTCTCTCGTCCGGCCGAAACGTAACACTCTCGTCTCAAACGGGTCACAACCATCGCCCGACCTCATGCCACGCGCGTAGATAACCAACTCACGGCCTCAGTGCGCACCATGGTGTGTGTGTCGTACGTTCAGTAGCAGCATGACCATCGTGCTACCCCCAGATTTAGACGTCCTCCGAAAAACACGGCCACAATCATTCAAAAACCTCCACCCCCCAGAATATCTGTCGTTGATTTCTATTGACTTGCGGACCCCTCGGGGCCAGTTTTATTTGAGTGTACCTTTTTAGGGTAAGTTAACCTGTGACCACGGGAATCGACCGCGTCGAGTTTTGGATCAGTACGGACATACGAAGGTACTGGGTAGAGAGAGATCGGAACGGTTTTTAATGTGAAGACAACAACAACAACAACAACAACCCCCCGCGGTGATCGGTCCTGTGGGAACAACGCACCATCCTCTCGAGGACGCATGGTCAATGGTCTAACCGCTAAGGCATGCGAAACACGAGCACACACCCCACCACACCACCACCACCCCTTGTTTCGTGTTCTCCCTACGCATGAAGGGTCACGCGGCACCCGTCACCGCGGTGCAATGTGACGAGCATCGAGTGGTGTCCGCGGCGACCGATGGCACGGTGTCGGTGTGGGACATCCGCAGCGGGCAGGAGCTGTTCCAGATCTACGGTCACGCGGACGGGGTTGGCTCCCTCCAGTTCGATAGGGAGCAGCTCGTGACTGACGGTGAACCGATTTTCGACACACTGCTGTGTGCAGGCCGTGTTGTTGTTTGTGTTGTGTTCTTCGCATTAAACATCGCTGTAACACCCTTACCGGCCCACCTGATACGGAGCAAATAGTCTAGACCTTAAAAGAACGATGGCACACCTGTGGGTTCGCCCGCACATCTGCGCTGGGTCAAATCACTCACAGCTCTCATTATTATCCGCTTGTTTGTTTCAAGAGAAAAGTGTACCTTCCCCCACACACACTGCAGCAACACCAGCATCAGTTTCTCGAACAATTCTTGTATTTTTTTTTGTTTTTTCGTTCGTTCTTTCTCACGCTTCGCGAAAAAACATCGTAGGAACGGGAGAGACCTTGTACTTGCACGACTTCACGGGCAGAAGAGGAGCCCCCGCCGTGATGGGCTCGGACAACCCTTTCGGCGATGACGACGACGACGACGATAACGACGAAGGTAGTCAAAGTGGGTTTCGTATCGGCGGGGGGGACGGGGGACGGGGCCCGGGGCGAGGGGGGGGTGATGGTGTTGACGGCGGTAAAGGGGGTGGAGCAGAAGGCTAATAGCGAGATGTGTGTGCTGACAGGGGGGGGCGGCGTTCTGTTTGTGTCCACGTGGGCTTTGGCGGCGTCACTGGCTATTCAGTTGGTCGAGTCCGAGAGTTGTTAGGTTTGATGTTGGGGACCTTCACGGTAGGAGTACTCGCTCTGCAAGCCCGGGCGGGAGCGTGAGTGCGCTGTAGAGCCACCACGTTAGCCCGAATTTGGCAGACGAGACAGGAGCATGTACAATCTCACAATTAGTCGTTTCGCCTAAACGACGGTCTTGTAAAAGTAGAGGTGGTCAAGTGCCGCGTTCGATGTGGTTCTGGCGAGAGCTGTGGCTGCAATCATGACCACTACAAGAAGAACGGCCTCACCACCCGCAATTTGGACGTTGTCCGAATGTTGGATGGACCACGTGTCATAACAGCAGTATGTAGCGCTTTGTTGGCGTGAAGATGATGACGCATCAGCATCAACCGCATCGCAATGAAATGTCCTACCACACACCCGTCGCCACCCGTCGCCAACGAACCCCTAGGATCCCTCGGTGCACGGGATAACAATGACGCGCCAAGCACGGTTCCGGCAACTGAAAAGTATGGCAATGATTGCTTCGAGACTAACGGAACTGGTGGATAGTCTCTGGGCGTTTTTTTTCCGGCAGGTCCAACAGGCCATCCCGGAAGCTGAAGGAAGAGCAGCAGCAGCAACTACGACAATAGCCATGACATTCCCCTGCCGGTGCCGACCCCCCACCCCTGCGGAAGATCAATACAGCGGAGACAAAGGCGCAACCCGCGGAAAAATGCCTTCCCCCCCCCCCCGTGCGGCCCAAAGAGCAACAATTCGGAGGAGGAGGAGGAGGAGGAACAACCAACGTCATGCGCGCCAGAACCGTTGCAGTTTGGTTCCCGCCCGTAGCGGCCGCGACACCACCAGCAGCTCCTCCTCTTCCCCCCCTTCCCTCCTCGCGGGAGAGGGGTGCTCTCCTTTCGCGGCGACCTCACCGGCCCCCCGTTGCTGCCGCTGTTCGGGTGGTGGCGGCTCTTGCTGTTCTTGGCGCTCCTGGGTTGTTGTTGTCGGTGTTGTGGGTGCGAGATGGAGCTCGTCCCACACCACCTCTCGAACCAAGCCCTGCTCCACGCAGGCCCGCTCGATCGTTTTCTCGGTCTCTGGGTCGTATCCGAAGCTCTGGGACATCAAGAACACGGGCGTGCCGTCAGCGCCGCCGCCGCCGCCGCCGCCGCTAGCAGACGAGCTTTCGTCGTCAAACGGACCACCCTCACGTAATGGAGGCTTCGGCGGAGACAATACCGGCACTTCCTCCTCTGGAACGATGCTACCACTCCCGTCCCCCCCTGTCCCCGCTGCTTGTCGCCTCTCTACCGCCTCTTCCCCTTTGCCTGGCGCGGGTTCCCGTGGCGGCCTTGCCTCCCCTGCCCCCGTCTCTACCGCCCCTTCCGCGCAGAAGACTTCGCCCCGTTTCTCCCTCGAAGGACAAGGGCAACAACGAGGACGGAGGAGCTCGCCGACTGTCAGAAAAAGGGGCTCCACCACCGACACCGAGTATATCACGTCGCTCGCGATCACCAGATCGAAAAGCACGCCACCGCCACCACTGCTGTCACCATCATCACCATCGCTGCCGTCTTGTTCACTGCCATCCCCGCGTGCACCGTCGATACGTCCCCTGCTGAGCCCGGCCCCGCTCCCCCTCCCGGGGCCACTCCTACTTGTCGACCCCCCCACCTCCTCCGCAAGATTTCTTGTCCGGACGAGAGCTTCGTCACGCCTAGGTCGGGGCGTAGAGGAGGCTGCGACGCTCGAAAGCGCGTGCGCTAGGGAGGCGCGTTGGGCGTTTCCTGTGGGCGTCGGGGGTGGGGGGTAGGGGTACGCATGTTTTGCATGCCATAGCGGTTAGACCGTTGACCACGCGTCCTTGAGAAGACGGGAGCATTGTGTTCCCACAGGACCGATCGCCGAGGGCCAATCGTTCCCTCCTACTGTGCCAAAGGTGGCTCAAAAGTGTTTCTCCCTAGGCTCGTCTATCCTATCGGTATCACCTCCAGTCTTTTCAGCCTACTTCCTATGCCCCGGTATAGCTACCGTCTTCTCCTGCCTATTCCATGCCTCAAACATCTCTCCGTACCTTTTTTATACTTTCCCCAGTTGAGCCATATACGTTTCTCTCTCCCTTTCGTAAAACGTGATCCCGGTCTTCGCACTCGGCCGCATTCAAATTTGAACTTGTGGTCGTCATCATCTACCTTCCTAAATCTTCGTCTACGTTCTCGGAGGTCAACGTGAAAAAATCCGTCCGGGTCAATTCTTGTTGACCCCAAGGGTCAGCCTAAGGCAGACAAGCGTGAACTACAACAGGGGGGCGGGGGTTCACGTGATTTTCGTGCCCTAGTTGTGAGCCCATTGGCCACTCGTGCTCGAGAGTTGGCGTTGGGGGGAGGGGGGGGGGCGGGGGGGCGTGGGCGACGCAAACACCGTCCGCGCAATGGTGGTGGTGGTGGTGGTGGTGCAGACCAGAAAGAACCTCACAATGTACGCAACCGTAGAGCTCCATATTTGATCAGTGGTGGGGAGTCCAACAGGGAACTTATGATAGGTTGGGATTGTATTGATAAGCTTTTTATGCACTATTGCAAGATCCCCCTCCGGATTGGGTCTCCACTGCTAACGACCACGCAACACAACTGTAGAACCTCACAATGTGCGCAACCGTAGCTCCATGTTTGATCAGTGGTGGGGAGTCCAACAGGGAACTTATGATAAGTTGGGATTGTATTGATAAGCTTTTTATGCACTATTGCAAGATCCCCCTCCGGATTGGGTCTCCACTGCTAACGACCACGCAACACAAATGTACGACTGCTGCTATTGTGGGTTGAGTTCTTCCATATTGTGATAAATCGAACCCAAAACATAAATAACAAGAATTTGCGCATGACGAACATATCTGGTGTGGTGGCGTGTTCCGTGGTGGTGGTGGCGGCGGCGGGGTTGATCTGAGGACCACCGAAAACTGCCGTAGCGTGCTTCGAAGGAGGCGTTTTGATGTATACCGCATCATGCCATGATTTCGAAGAATTGGAGAGTGCCGCGGTTTGCGATCAAAGAGCATCGAGCGTGCCTCCTAGCTCAGGAAGTTCAGTCACGATGGCCGAGAACATGTACGTCCCCTCTCTATGAGCTCAGGGCATACGATGGGTTCCGTGCGCGTCCAACGGGAGTGGTGTTCACCTAACCCAACAACCTTCGACGGGGGCAGGCAACCATCGACCGCAAAACGCGCCCCGTCTTCTTGGCTGCTCTCCTTCTTCTTACCGACGGTGCCCCACGAGAGCTGCACGCAACGCGACTTTGCTGCGGCTGCGCTCCCCCCCAACTCCGGCTGTTGCTGTTGCTCTTCGATGCTCTCTCTGATCATGTCCAACACGCCTGGGCACGTCAACGTGCACGCAGGGACACGGGACACAAAGAAGAACATGGCGAAGAAAGGGCGAGGAGGAGGTGGGGCGTATTCTTAATGTTCTTAAAAGTCATGCATGCCGAAGCGGTTAGACCATTGGCCACGCGTCCTCGAGAGGAGGAGGTGGGGGGGGGGGTGATGGCAAAAGCAAGAATGATAACGGAAGCGCGAGGGGGAAGCAGGTAGAGGTGGACGGACAGGAGAGCAGATAGAGATGTACAACAGGCGAGGTAGCAGGAAAGAGTCTCTCGGGGAAAGCAGGAGGCACATGGGCTTAGGAGGGAGGCAACACGTGGGAAAATTTTCGTACGCCAACTGCCGTCGTCTCAGCCCCTGACCTTGCTCGGTACCGCAGCACAAAAAATCCAAAAAAATCGGGAACTGAGACGCGTCGACACTACCCCCCTTCCCGACGCATGCCTGGCTCTAGACCCAAAAACTCTTGCGGCCGGCTACCGCTTCCGATACAACTGTACATAAACACATCGGTCGCCATCCGAGGGTGGAAACTAATGGTCGGGTAACTAGACCTCCCCCACGCACCCGCGCCAACGACGCGCTCAGAGCATCCCCACGGCGCTCCGAGGCCGGTAGCGCAAGTTGCACGGTCTGCCTGCCTGCCTGCTTGTCTGCCTTGCCAAGCCCCGCCGTGTCCCGTCCTCGCTTTGTTGAACGCATATCTGGTACATACCATGTACCACCCCGACGTATCAGCCTTCGCCTTGTGGACCGCATAGATGGTACACACCATGCACCGCCGGAGGGCACGTAGCGGCGCAAGACCACACTACCCGCCGAAACAATCACAAGTACCTCCGCCCGCTCCCAAACATCCCGGCCTCCTCCTCCTCCTCCTCCTTCTCCCCGCTCCCCCGTCCCAAACCCACCACCCACCTGGGTCATGGTCCGTGAACACGACCGCCTTCGTGAGCGGTAGCTGCGCCGCGACTAGCCCCGCCAGGCCGCACCCTGCGCCCAGCTCCAGGCACCTGCCTCCGCGGGGCAGCGCCAGGCGGCGGTCTACGAGGTAGGCGGACAGCGCCGGAGCGGCCGGCCAGACGTAGTGACCGGACTGTTTGGGTGTGCGTGTGCGTGTGCGTATGCGTGTTTTGAATCAGAGAGCGGGCGTTTGCATAGGTCACCACCGATTAATAGGGACATGTGACGGGTGCTGAGGAAGGGTGGAAGGGAGGGGGGGTGTACTCATGTTTTGCATGCCTTAGGGGGTGAGGGTGAGGAACTAGAGCAGTATTGTCTATTCGCGGTTGTCGTTCGTCACACCAGCGGCCGACAAAACGAAGCTTGACTACATGCAGTTTTCCTGCTGTCTTGCCGGTTTTCGTGTTTTTTGCTGGCGGCCTTTGTTTCGCACAGGAAATGGCCTACGGGTTGTACAGCAGTACATCACTTGTACAGCAATAGTAAAAGGACCTGTTGTATGCATACCAAGGGAGAGTTGACATGCGCTCTTGTCTGGAGATTGATCGCTGAACGTCCGTGTTTTCGTAACGGCCGCCAAAAACAAGGGGGGGGGGGGGGGGGGGGGGGAAACCCCCCCCCAAAGGGGAAAAACCTTCCCCAATTTTCCAACCCCCCCCCCCTTTTGTTTGGAAAAAAAAAACCCCCCCCCCCCCCCCCCAAAACAAAAGAAGCCCCCTCGCAACTCCCGGGGGCGTCTCTAACCAACCGAAAGGGAAAGGAAATTTCCCCAAAACGAAAAAACCCCCCGGTTTTTGGGGGGGGG